GCAGACACAACATCTTTGTTGGTATGTGGTGCTGAGGATCGAACCCGGGCCGCACGCATGCCAGGCGAGCGCGCTACCACTTGAGCCACATCCCCAGCCCCTTGCCTTCATTTTTGAAAGGTAGCTTTGCTTAATATAAGCTAATCATTGACAGATTTTTTTTCCTTCGGGCACTTGGAATGTGTCATCCCACCTGCCTCCTAGTTCCCATTGATGAGAAGTCAGTATGTTGATCTTCTGGTTCTCTTCTAAGTAGTGAGTGGTTTTCCACTTGCTGCTTTCAAGGTTTTCTCTTTGACTTTTTACTATGATATATCTGTGGGTCTCTTTGTGTTTATCCTGTTTGGAATTTGTGAGCTCCTGAAGAATGTAGAAAGTATTGCTTTTCAATAAACTGGGAAGTCTTTCACCCATTATTTCTTTTTGATATGCTTTTAATATGTTCCTTTCCCCCTCTACTTCTGATTCTCTTCATATACCCCTTTCAGTATTCTTTGCTGTTGTTTGTTTGTTTGTCTTTTTGTTACTGGGTGGGGGGGTATTGAACCTACAGGTACTGAACCAGTAAGCCACATCCCTAGCAGTTGTTTCATATTTTTACTTAGAGACAGGGTCTCCTAAATTGCTTAGGGCCTGTCTAAGTTGTTGAGGCTGGCCTTGAACTTGAGATCCACCTGTCAGTCTCCAGAGCCAGTGGGATTTATAGGCATGTGCCAGTGTCCTAGGCTCTTTGTCTTTTCCTACTCTATCCAGCTCAATTCCTTCCTCTTCCTGGCTAGTGATCTCCCTTTTCCTTGTCTTTTGTTTTTGGATGTGTGTTCCCACATGCTAGTGATGAGGGCTGAATCCAGAACCTCTCACATACTGGGCAAGTATTCTACCACTGAGTTACACCCAAGCCCATTCCCATATTCCCTCCCTCCCTCCCTTCCTTCTTTCTTTATTTCCTATACAGTGATTTAACCTTGGCTACATCCCCAACCCTTTGTATTTTTTATTTTGAGACAGGGTCTCACTAARTTGCTGAAGGTGGCCTCTAACTTACTATCTTCCTGCCTCAGCCTCCCTAGTCTTTGGGTTTCCCACCCACCTGCCACTTTCATATAATCTTAGCCACTCCTTTGCTTTTTTATTTGTTCCTCATATTGTTATTGCTTGCCAAGGCATTTTAAAAATTCCCTCAGCACCAAAATTAATACAAACCACAGATTTGGAACTTCATTAATACATGAATAAATAAATCTTCCAAAAGTCCAAAAAGTAGACTGATCAATGTTTTGTTTGTTGGTATGGAAGATAGAATCCAGGGGCACTCAACCACAGAGCCACATCCCAGGTCCCCCTCCCCTCTTTTGTATGTTATTTAGAGACAGGATCTCACTGAGTTGCTGAAATTGGCTTTGAAATCCATCCTCTTGTCTCAGCCTCCCCAGCTACTGAGATTACAGGGGAGCTGGTTTCTGAATGAAGTGTGGATGGGGAAATGGGGGTTCTTGATGTCTCTCTTCTGGTAGTTTCCAAAAGCTCTACAATTTTTAAAAACCCCACTCCTATTACTTTTTTTTCTCTGTGGTTTGTAATCACTATGCGACCATTCTATACATTGCGGACTCTGGCTTTTTACTCCCACATGACGAAGAGAAATGTCTGCATTTCATTTGTGTGGGACAAATACACACAACCAGCTTCAGATTCTAAGCAAATGCTAAGGTTTAACGTTGGAATAAAGGTACATGATCATTCCGATAATGAACTCTGGTTCAAAGGTCCCTGAGTTTTCTTGAGGCATTACAAGCTTAAACTTTCAGGTTTAGTGTTGAAAGATTTGTCCCAACCAAAGACAAAATTACACAAACACATGCTTGGGCAAAACATCAGGAAGCACATTCTTGTCTGAAAAACATGACACGGGAAACAAAAGAAAGCAAAAACCAGAATAAACATTTTCATTTTTGATGCAGTCGTTTTGGCCTTCATGAGTCACGGCCACCATTTTATAGCGACCTTGACAGAAGGCGGGCACCTGCTGGCATTTGCCTGGCGACCCCGCCAGGAGCTAGGAAGCTCTAGGAGCTTGGCCCCGGGTGGGCGCCATCGAGTGCGGACCTCCCGCGCGCCCTAGAGCGGCCGCGTGGGACCCTGTCGGCGGCGCACTTCCGCCCGCACGCGTCGCTGCCCCGCGGACTGCTGGGCCTCGGAACAGGCCTRCACCTCCCTCGGCTCTTGCGCGGGCCTCGGGGAGAGGGTGAGTGTGGTAGGGTGCAATGGAGCAGGGCGGGCGCGCTTCCTCGGGACTCGCGGGCTCGGCTCGGCTCGGCCTGGCCCAGCCTGATGCGGAGGAGCCGGGCCCCGGTAGCGAGGACGCGCTTCGTCACTATCCCCGCCGGAGCCTCGGCTGCCTGGCGCTGCTACCTCCGCCCGGCCCGCCTTTTGCGAAACTGACGCGGTCTGGTAGGGGAGCCTGGGCTCGCTGGTGGCCGGAGGCCTGGCCTCTGCTTGGCCACTCACTCTCCCTCAGAGCCACCGTTCTCCAGCTTTAAGATGGAGGACGGCAGTATCTGCCCTACCTACACCACTCGGTGATTGCAGGGGTGACAGTGACTGTCTGGAAACTAGGGAGCGCTGGTTCTCCACTGGGCAGCCAGTAGAATCATTTGGGAAGCCTTCCCAGGGTGAGCCCCATCGTCTCCAGGGATTTTGATCTGCAGCCGGGACCGGGAAACGCGGGCCTAGAGTGACAACTGTGGTCACCACCAGAATGTACCCTTCGTCGAAGGTGGATCACAGTCTTGACAAGGCCAACATCTGCTTTTTTTTTTTTTTTTTTTGTCCAAGAAGACGGGGACCTAATCTGGTTTGGCCGCTTTTAATACCTGGTACCTGGAATGGCGCATGTCGCAGAACATGCATCATTGATTACATGAATTTCTAATTGCTTTCTGACCTAGTGGGAGGGTTTTGATTATTTGGTTTGTTTTTAAACTTTTTGTTATGGAAACTTCCAAACATACATGAAAATAGAATAATATATTCAACTCCTAACTCATGATCAATCTTGTTTCATCTCTTACCTCCACTGTATTATTTAAAGCAAATCTGAAATGTATCATCCCATCGGTTAAATAATGAAACACAGTAACTCTGTTTTTAAACGTAAAGCCATTATCAGTCATATTAGCATTTCATATTATCATCTATCCAGTGTTGACATTTCCCCAATTGTCTCTTCCCTGTCTCTCCCCTTACCAGTCTGTCCAAATTAGGATCCAGACAAGYTACACACTTTACATTTGATTGATGTCTCTAAGATCTCATTTAATCTTTTTTTTTTTTCCTTGTTTTTCACTTGTTGAAAAAGACTAAGTCATTTGTCCTATGAAAAAAAGCCTGCATGTTRCTTTTCCCATCCTGTGGTTTCCTTTAATAAACTGGTATTTAGACCTACAGGCTTTTTCAGGTTTTGATGCTATTTTTTGGCAAGAAAACCTCATGAAGGCTGCTGACAATATTTCATATTGCATCATCAGGGGTTAGATAATATCTTGTTCTTTGTAGACCGTTTGTGTACAAATTACACTGCAGGATAACTAGTTAATTGACCAGGGATTTATAGAAGGATACCAGCTAATAACTGTAGAATGAATAAGAGAATAATAACACCTTTTGGCAACTCCTAATGAAATGATGGATCCAATGTTGATGTCAGAAAGACAGCCAAATGAAAGTACCTCATACCAATTATCAAGTGTTCTTGGAGCAGTGGGGGTAGGGTGGAGGAATAAATGAATCAAGATTGTCCATGAGTTGATAATCGCTGAGGCTCAGTGATGGAAATGTGGCAGTGCATTCATTATGCTGATATATYTCCATATGTGTTTGCATTTTTCTTTTCTCATTTTTAGTTCTGGGGATTGAATCCAGGGGCACTTTACCACTGAGCTACATCCATTTTATTTTATTTTTTATTTTAAGACAGGGTCTTGCTAAGTTGCTGAGGGTATTGCTAAGTTGTTGAGGTTGGCCTTGAGCTTGTGATTCTCCTGCCTCAGCCTTCCAAATTGCTGGGATAATTTTTCTTAATAAAATATTTTTTTTTAATTAAAGATTAACTAATGAGTTTAGGTCAGCATGATCAATTAATTATAGTTCTCCTTTGTCCTTATTTCTAAGTTGTTAATAAATCTGACTCTGTTAGAATTACAGGGGAAGAATATCCCTGCCCCTTTTTAAAAATATCAAAATACATGTCTCACAGAATTTACTGTTAAATTGTTCTAAGATGGAGCCTAATCATTAATATGTTTTAAAAGCTCTCCAGGTGATTCTGATATGCTCTTAGTTTTATATACCACTGATCTAGGTGCATTGTTTGTTAGGGATTGCAAAGTGACTATATTCTGTTATTCCTTCTGCATTTTATTAACTGTAAAAAGTTTTAACTTTGTGTTTATTCTCACCTTTTACAATCTGCAGTTCAGTAGGGAAGCTGCTTAACTGTTAGATTGAGGCTTAATCTTGGAGGTGAAGACGTGGAACATACAGACGGCCATTAGCAATAACCTCAAGGCTTTGGTCCGGGATAAAATGTGCTGCCTTGTRTGTAAAGGGTAAAGGGAATAGAGAGCTGACTGTTTCCTAAAATGAAAGGAAAAYGAGATGCTGTCTACTTAGAAAAGTATGTTTGGCTGTATTACACATTTTAAAAATAGAATCACAATTAAATACAAAATAAAAATAAAATACTGTCAGTTGTAACTGAAAACAATCCAAAGATTTGAAAATTAATATCTCCTTTCTCTGCCCCAGCATTCTAATCATCCTGGAGATAACCAGTATATGTGTATCCTTCCACACCAGACTTTCTGTCTTACATAAATATAAGGGTTTGGAGAATATATTACAAAAATGAGATTATACCATAACTTTAACTTTTATCATTCTTACCCTTCTAGGATAATAGTTACAGACCTGAGGTTTTATTAGCTATGRAATAAATAGTTAATCATATATTACTAGGAATATTAATAAAACCATTTCCATAATGGCATATATTTAGATTGCCTTCCTATTTAGCCACCTAAAAGCACCACAGTAAATAAACATTTTTTTTTTGTATGTAGATCCTTTATTTTTGTAGGGTAGAAATGAGATAACCRGGTTTCCACTGTCAGTAGCTTCTGAGAGCACCCATTTGTCCATCTCACTTCATCCTGGATAATGGATATCAAGGYCAGTATTGCTTCCTTGATATCTGCCAGCTTCTATGTGGAAAATGGTGTCTCTTTATTTCTTTAATTTGCATTCTTACTACCTACCTAGAGAGTGAGCATTTTTCATGCTTATTGGCCATTTGAATTTCTTTTGGAATATGTCCTTTACCATTTTTTCTTTTGTGTCAGTATTTTTTTTTAAATCCATTTGTATAAACTCTTTAAAGGGACATTAATCCCTTGTCATAAGATATGCAAACCAATTTTCCAGCCATTATTTTTCCTTTGACTTTTTGAGTCTTTTCGTATATATAAAGTTATAAAATGATATAAAAAGCAATGAAAGAGCTGGGGTTGTGGCTCAGTGGTAGAGCACTTGCCTAGCACATGTAAGGCCCTGGGTTAGATCCTCAGCACTACATAAAAATAGATAAAATAAAGATATTGTGTCCATCTACATCTAAAATATTTTAAAAAATACAATGAAAATAACTTTCCTTAAATTTTTTGGCTTCTTGTGATAATAAAGGGCTTTCCCATCCCCAAAGTTTTATATATATATATATATATATATATATATATATATTCTCTTGTTTTGTTCTGTTTTTTTTTTTCTCCCCCAAGTGCTGGGGATCAAACTCAGGGCCTTATACACATGCTAGGCAAGTGCTCTACCATTGAGCTATACCCTCAGCCCTTTCCTAATTTAAAAATAAATATATTGGATTTTTAAAAGTTTGAATTGCTAACCCATGTGGAATGGAATTTTACATACAATGTAAAACAGGGACTTTGCTTTTTTCTGCAAGAACAGCCAATTTTGTTGGTGCCATTCAATAAGTAAACCACCCTTTTATGCCTTTGTTACATATTGATTCCTGTACATATTAATTTCTGGATTTCCATTTCCTTTTACCTGTGTTTTTATRCCAGTATTATTCTTATCATATCTGTTTAACATAATAAATGTCGTTATCTGAAGAGGCAAGTCACTCCTCACTACTTTTTGCAATTTTGTTTCCCATCCTCAGACATTTATTCTTTTCCAAGTGATCTTTGGATTGTTTTTGTTCTAAGACAATCTCTTGGAAATCTGTTAGAAATTACACTAAAGATATCCACATTAATTTTGAAAATAATGAACATTTATGTAATATCAGGTCTTCCTATCAAGGCACATAGTGTGTTTCTCCATTTATTTGAATCATTTAGGTCCTGGTCCTGCTAACTATTTCTGGTGATTTATAAGGTTTGGTTTTTTTTATGCCCTTATGACTGGGATTTTCCCCCTCCCCTGTTTCTGTTTTTATCTGGTTTTTCATAGGAGCAAGAAAAGCTATCAATACTTTTGGTCATATTTTCTTACTGTAGTAGTTTTTCTTAAAATTATTTGTTTCCCTCTCCACCCAACAATGTGGATTAATGTGGATAATCTATATTTGGTTATGTATAAGTGTCAATATTTATTCTATTTGACATACATCTTCCATAATAGATATATATCAGAGATGGCAGTTATGCCCATAAATAGTGAAAGCAATAGTGCCAGGAGTTGGTAGAAATCTAAATATTCACAGGTTATTGATCACTTAAAAGATCAGAACCCCATAACCAATCACTTAGGGAGGTGAGACATTTGCTCAGCATTACAATGAAATATCAACATTACTGTAGAGTAATATAGAACATTACTGTTCATAATAGTTCAGAGGAAGGGCTGATCACCATGGGCACCAGAAGCACTGCTTGTGAGTATATTAAATACCACCTCTTACCCAGAACCTCAACTAGATTATTATTGTTTAGTGTTTATTAGAACTTTAAAAAAATGAATGGAAATTACAGAATTCCTATAGGCCCTCTCACTACTCATCCCTCAGTTTCTCTTGTATTAATATCTTGCATTACTATGACATATTTGTTACCTTTGATAAATCAATATTGTCACACTATGATTAACTAAAGTTGGCTTTATTCTGTGTGGTACATTCTGTGTACAAGTGACCAATGTATAATGACATATCTGTTCTTACTGCAGCATTCAGAATAGCTTTGTTGTCCTAAAAAAATCCCATGTGCTGTATTTATTGATCCTTCCCTCCTTATTCCRTTGCTTTGGCAAGCACTGATCTTTTTATTGTGCCATAGTTTTTCTTTGGAAATGCTATGTAGTTGAAATTCAGCTGTGGTGTTTGATTGTTTTCAGTGCTAGGGATTGAACCCAGGGCCTCATACATGCTAGGCAAGCACTCTACTAGTAGGCTACACTTCCAGCCTCTTAGTTACAGTTTTGAATTGATTTACTTTAGCTAGGTTTAATTTTGTATATGTAAACAGTCAATATAAGGTTTGTTGACTTGTTTTAGTTCAATTAGGAGTTATAACCAGGGCTTGGGATGTAGCTTAGTGGTAGAGTGCTTACCAAACATGTAGGAGGCTCTGAGTTCGATCCCCAGAACCACTCAGGGTAGGGAGGGCTCATAATCAAAAAACAAATAGGATTTGAGCATGTAGCTTAGAGAGCGGCTTTACCGAGTGCAAGGCCCTGGGTTCAATCCCCAGCGCCCAAAATAAATAAATAATAGTAAATCACAYGGAACAGTAATTTGAAATAATCAGGTGAACTTTCTGTTGCAGGGTGGAAGATGTCTATGGATGTGACGTTTCTTGGGACTGGTGCAGCGTATCCATCCCCTACTCGGGGTGCCTCTGCTGTGGTCTTTCGGTGTGAAGGCGAATGCTGGCTCTTTGACTGTGGAGAGGGGACACAGACACAGCTTATGAAAAGCCAACTGAAGGCAGGTTAGTGTGCAGTCAGTATTTCATCAAGATTATTTTTTGTTCTCTGTCATTATCTTAGTTCTCATTGGGCCTGTTGTTCAGAAACAGCCCTACCAGTTGTGATCCTACTTCCTGCTAGAGCTCTGGCCAGACTTGGGAGGCCCCCAGGCACCCTGCCATTACCACTCCATGTACTTGTTTATTTGATTTTCATTTAGTCTATAAATGTCAAGAGCAAGAATTTTATAGACTTGGGGGGTGCAAGATGGGAGAGCTACCTGAGACATATTAGATGGACACTGCCCTGGCAAGGAACAGTGGACATATTCAGTTCCATGAGGGGATAGTTGCCATGAGAAAATACAAAGGGCAGTAGGTGTTCAGAGGAGGAAGATGCTCTCATAGGCTTTCTGGACCTTCTGTTTTAAGTATTCCCTCTCTTACCCCATTTTATTATTTCTTCCTCTTTTTATTAACTTCTTAGCATCATCAGTATCTGAAATTAAGTTATTGAAATAGTTTTTTTCTGTTCTTTATCTTCCTATATAATAACCTAAGTTCATTGATCACTTATGTGCCTAGTAGATGCCCAATAAATATCTGTTCAGTTTGTGAMTGGATAAGACATTGAGCAACCTACATCTTATTTTTTAGGTCTTGATAAATAGTGCAGTAATTCCCACAACTCATCACAGGGTGTGGTAACTTGATGACAAAAGGAAAGATACTTCTRGTGTCCCAGGATCTCTTAGTGACAGAAGTGGAGTGGCAGAAATGGAGATGCAGATAGTCATCAACCTTGTAATTATAATAAGTAGAATAATGGAAGTATTTTTCAAGTACTAAATGTGGTAGAGCACATGCTTASCATGCAGGAAGCCCTTTGTTCAATCCCTAGCACCACCAAAAAAACCYAACAGAATAAAATAAAATGATCATAAAATGATGATTCAAAAGTATTACAACTGGGCACACAGGTACATACCTGTAATTTCAGCAACTCGAGAAGCTGAGGCAAGAGTATCGCAAGTTTGAAGCCAGTCTTAGAAACTTAGCAAGACTGGGTCTCCAAAGAAAAAATAAAAAGGGCTGGGAATGTAGCTAAGCAGTAGAACACTCCTAATTTCATTCCTCAGTACTGGGGGAAAAAAGGATTACAAAAACATGCTTTTAACATGATCATAAAAATTTAAAAGGAGTTGTGGATATAGCTCAGTGGTGGAATACATGTTTAGCATGTGTGAGGCCCTGGGTTCAATCCCCAGCACCAAAAAGTAAATAAAATGATAATAATAAAACAATAATAAATGTATAAATATGCTTATTGTAGAAGTTTAAACAAAACAGTGTAAAGAAGAGAAACCCAAGTCCTCTTCCCATAGGTAAATTTTCTATACATACAGATATTGTAACGGTATGGGTATATTTGTATGTATGTATGTGTCGTTTTGCATAAATGGAATCACACTGTACTTTGCATAACCTGTTTTTTTTTTTTTTAGCTGAGCAATATATACATACAATCTGTTGCAGAACTTTTCCTGTGAAAATTAATGACTTTAATTRCTGTAAGAATAATTATTTCAGAGGGTGTTTATTATCATTATTTTTTGGGGATGCTTTGTATTCCACTACTGTTTTTGGCAGTATTTCTCCATTACTTCCTTGTTCTCAAATGAAAGGGAGTGCATGTGTTCTTCATTTGATAGCTTCCTCATACCTCTGATAATTGTGGTTACTGTTACTTCTTCCTCTAAAATCAAGTTTTCTTGAAAAATGAAATGTTTATCTTCCCTGAAATTGTGATAACTGTGGGAAGCAATTTTCCACTTACTTAATTTGTCTTGCTTGCTTTGGGTTCACAGGCTGTTTTGGTGTTCCACTCTGGCTTTGTTTTATAGTAGATMATGAGAGGACCCAGAAAGTCTGATGTTAACAGTTTTGAGGCCAGCGTGTGATCTGGGCTTAGCTGCTGCCATCCTTATGTCTGTGTAATCTTCAGGTCCCACTTGGAGGTGGCTTGGCAGCCCTTGGCAGCCTAAACAGGTAGTTGAAATGAAAGGATTCTCAAAGTCATAAACAGTGACAACAAGGACTAAAAAGAGAAAGGAGCGTTTTGAGATTTCTAGTTAGAGAGTGCCTCCAAGGGGTTCTCAGGGTCCAAAATCAACTTCTGCCCAATCCATTGTTCTCTGCCACTGCAGCCTGGGTTGGGCGGAGTCGTTCTAGGAAGACTCTAGAATGGAGAAACTGGAGACCATTTGCTGACGTAGCACAAATCACATTGCAATAAACAGTTCCTGTTCTTTTATGGTATCAATAAAGAGATCCTGTACTTTTATGGTATCAAATGTTTAAAATAGGTGGGTCTTGAAGTAGGCCCAAAAGCCTGTTATACTGGAAATGTGCTAGTTGTGATTGTTACTTTCAAATGCCTGTGGTGCACCTCAGAAAATGGTGATGTGGCATCCTGCCACATACCAGCAGTAAATTCAGTTTACTATTGGCTAAATAAAGTTATAACCTAGCCAATAGTGCACTGAAAAAGCTATTGTATTAGTTCAGACTAAAAGCAAGAGATAGGTCCAAGATATAGGTCCAGAGGACCTCTCTCCAGTCTACATTGTGGCATCTATAGTTGCCCACCTTCTTCCCCTGTTTCTCACTCAGTTACTCTCTTCCTCCTTTTCTCCCCCTCCTGTACTCCCCACCCGCATCCTTTTTCTCCTTTTCCTACAAGCTCACCCRCATAGGCAGGCCCTGACTTGGTTGGCTAATCCCTGTCCAGAGTAGAGTCCTTAAAAGGCAGTTTTGGGTTTGGGCACTGGTCCAATCATTCAGAGTAGTCGGTGGAACATTTTGTTTTGTTGGAATACACATTCCCTGTTCCCAGAGGGGGCAGTAGGGGGCAATGTGACTGCCAAATGCTTTTGACACTTAGTCCCATCTAGTTAAGTGAATTATTTTGGTACACATTTATATTTCATTTCTTTCTTTCTTTCTTTCTTGTTTTTAAATGAGAGAACATATATAGGAAAATACTGTAAAACTTATGTAATTTGAAAATGTTTTGTGGAAAAAAAAGTTCATCTTATTTAAAACCATCCAGTGAAATAAAGACTGTCTTACTTCTGGAATCATGTTGCATAATGTAAAGGAATAAGTTTATGATGGTAAATAGAACTTGTAAATTCAACTTCCTGCTTTTATGTAAGTTGTTTGGTTTGTTTCGAATAGTTTTGTCTGAGGTTTTACTTCTAAAAATTTCCAAATATATTTCTTTGTCTTAATCAAAAGGGAGAATTACCAAGATTTTCATCACRCATCTTCATGGAGACCATTTCTTTGGCCTTCCCGGCCTCCTCTGCACAATCAGCCTGCAGAGTGGCTCTGTGGTCACCAAACAGCCAATTGAAATCTATGGCCCTGTAGGACTTCGAGACTTTATCTGGCGAACCATGGAGCTCTCTCACACAGAGTTGGTGTTCCCTTACGTGGTCCATGAGCTGGTGCCCACAGAAGATCAGTGTCCTACAGAAGTACTGAAAGAATCTTCACATGTTGATAAAGCAACAGAGAGCCCCCCCTCTCCCAAAGAGGGACAAGGAAGAACTATCCTATTAGATTCAGAAGAAAACTCATACCTTCTGGTTGATGATGAACAGTTTGTTGTAAAAGCATTTCGCCTCTTTCACAGAATTCCTTCCTTTGGGTTTTCAGTTGTAGAAAAGAAACGCCCAGGTAAACTCAATGCACAGAAGCTGAAAGACCTTGGTAAGTGGTTTGTTTTGCTTTGTTTTTTCTTTCCTTCTTTCTTTAGCTGTAGATGGACACAATCCTTTATTTTGTTTATTTAGTTTTCTTATGTGGTGCTGGGGATCGAACCCAGTGCCTCACATGTGCTAGGCAAGCATTCTATTACTGAGCCACAACCCCAGCCCRTGTTTTTTCTTTTTTTATCAATTGAACTGTTTTTTACTGAAGCCATTAGAAGTATCATAGTAACTTCCTTTCCTGTGTCTCAGGCCTGAAACTTACATTTTCTGTACTCACTTCCTTTGCCCAAAGTTTATTTATTAAGGAAAATCCTTGGGGCCATAAGATTTTATTCAGAATAAAAGTCAAATGTGTAGTATATTTGAATCCTTCTCTCTTTAACTTCCTGGATCCATACTCCTTTGTTTTTTGTTTTGTTTTATTTTGGTACTGAGGAATGAACCCAGAGTTGCTTTACCACTGAGCTACTTTTCCAGTCCCTYTTATTTTTTATTTTGAGATGGAGTCTTTCTAAGTTGCCAAGGCTGGCCTTTAACTTGCRGTCCCCCTGCCTTAGCCTCCTGAGTTACTGGGATTATAGGGATCTGCTACCATACCTGGCTGGATCCACACTCTTAATCTGTCTTGTACTGTCTTGGTTGGTAAGATGGTTTAGGTGGTGATAATGGTGATGGTTTTAGGTCTCTTGTCTTCAGTTTTGCTTTTTTCTTTTCTTTTCCCTTCCTTCCTTCCTTCCTTCCTTCCTTCCTTCCTTCCTTCCTTCCTTCCTTCCTTCCTTCCTTCCTTCACATGGTGTGACTGTGCCTATAAAAAGCATGATGATATTTTTTATGTTTGTCTCTTTACATATGCAGTCTCTTCTCTACTCTAAACAAGATGCTAGATAATGAGGAAAAGTAACTTAGGTCAAAGGTATTTTTATTATCTAAAAGCCTATGGAAATACTGTTATATTTGGAAATTTTAAACATGATCAGTGTTGGAATTGGTTATCACTGTCATTACACTTGTTTGTAAGCAGTTGTCCAGAATGATGATCAGATGTTATTCTAGACTGATGTGAGATTTAATTCCAAGTTGGTAAACATAGGACTTCATCAAGAAGATTGATTGTGTACAGTTGTCCAAATGCTCATTGATCTTGTGATCCAACAGTTCTCKCTAATACATTTTTATTATGTTAGTTTGTAGGTACCTGTCTTGACTAGCATTGATTATGTCATTATTTAGATGACTTTTCTAATTTTACCCAAAGATGACCTTATTATATTTAATATATAATATATTTAATTTATTTAATACCCTTAAAAGCTGTAATTCCTATGCACAGCAGAGAATCRAAACTTTTATCTTGACTATAACAAAATCTTAGAGGGACTTAGGAGTTTAAAAGTCATCTGGTACATGTGCATGAGAAATGTTTTAAATATAAAGACATTGTATTAGGAGTCAACACTGAACTTTTAAAATGTRTAAATATTCGAGTTTCCACAGTAGTAAAACATTTATAATAATTATGAAAAGAATTTGATGCCTTTTCCATCTTCTATTTGCTATGCTATTAAAATAGACTCTTTTAAACAGTCATAAATTCCATATCCATGATGTAACATTGTCTGCCTTCATCATTAGGTGTTCCGCCAGGTCCTGCCTATGGGAAGCTGAAAAATGGAATCTCTGTTGTTCTGGAAAATGGGGTTACAATTTCTCCCCAGGATGTCTTAAAAAAGCCTATTGTTGGAAGAAAAATATGCATATTGGGTGATTGTTCTGGGGTTGTAGGAGATGGAGGAGTGAAACTGTGCTTTGAAGCAGACCTGTTGATCCACGAGGCAACCCTGGATGACACCCAGATGGACAAAGCAAAGGAGCATGGCCATAGCACACCTCAGATGGCAGCAACGTTTGCAAAAATGTGCCAAGCAAAGAGGCTGGTTCTTACTCATTTCAGTCAGAGGTACAAACCAGTTGCCTTGGCCAGAGAAGGAGAAACAGATGGCATTGCGGAACTGAAAAAGCAAGCAGAATCAGTGTTAGATCTCCAAGAAGTGACTCTAGCAGAAGATTTTATGGTGATTGGCATTCCAATCAAGAAATGAAACAGGTGTTCTTATTGACATGTCTGTAAATGTTACTGAACCTACAGTCCAGATTTTTTTTTCTTTTGTTTTTGTTTTTGGTCTGAAATTATTTTGGCCCTGATAATCCTAAAAAGGATGGAGCTGCATTATTGATCTAACTCATTAGTGAGAGGGAGCAAGCTTTTTGATAATAAATCATTTTTAGAAGAAGAAAAAAAAAMCACCCAGCATCCTTCTTAAAGTGCATATTTGACAAAAAGATAGATTTTGCAGGTATTCTTCTCATTTTCTGACTACTGCCACAGATGTAAGCCATGCAGTCCTGGACTTAGCTTCTACCCAGCTTTATTGCAGTAATTGGCAAAGTACACTGGAATCGGCCTCTTGGCTAGAAATGGTATTTTGTCAGTTTGTGTTGAATCTGTTCATGTTATTAACAGAAGAGAAAGAGCGAGTCACAAGACTTTGTATATGTAATAGTAACAATAGCATGCAGTGGTTTTACTGGATTATTGAATTCAGGGCTTCGCTAAGTGATATGTTAGTGTTTTGCTGAAATTTTTGGTTTGCTCTTAGCCCACAATTCTCATCTGAGTACTGTCCTAGGAATTTGGAAATTGTGGGAATGTTTTATTCTCACAATGACAGAGGGGTGGTAGTGATAATATTACTGGTTTTAATCTGCAGGGGTCAGGAATGCTAGATGCCCTGTAAAGTTTGGGTTAGTCCTGTAGAATAAAGAATAACCTCATCTCCAAATGCATATTGCAGGCCTGTTGAGTTATACAGCAAAGTTAAAATTTATACTTCCAATGTGAATATGCTTTACCAAAATTAGTGACATACTGAGTTGAATTACTAGGTAAATTGATCCAACAACAGATCCTGAAGATTGAATATGTCAGAATTGTATGCTCTATCTAATATTTTTTGAAAGAAATGAGTCATCAAGTGAAGCTTATGAATCTGGAGGTAAAAAGTGGTATTTATTACTGAGATTTAATTTACATGTCCCCATTAATAATAGAAATATAGGATACCATAAAAATACCATATTTAAGAGTTATCAGGATAGAGGAAGGCATAGAGTTCCAAACCAAAGGAATGAACAATCTATTCAATGAAATAATATCATAAAATTTTCCAAACATGAAGAATGAATTGGAAAATCAAATTTAAGAGGCTTACAAGACACCAAATGTATAAAATCATAAGAGATCCACACCAAGGCACATTATAACGAAAATTCTTAACATACAGAATAAGGAGAGAATAATTCTTTGAGCACAAACTTATTGTTCCTTGTAGAATAGCTTTTCCTTATGATCTTATGTTCTGTGGAAAATTAATATAGAATGCTGATTCATTCAAAAGGGCTCCCTAATTAAATCAGGTTGGGGAATGTTTTATGCTCTATGTCCCCTCTGGGACTGGGCTTGTGCCCATCAACCTATTAAAAACAGTATTCTTTGGAATGATCACAAACTAGGTTGGGTGCAAGAAAGACCTGATTTTAGAGTCCCATTTTGTACTTTGTGTAGCACCTCTGTGTGGTCTAGAGCAGATTACTTATTCTCTCTTAACTTCTGGAGCTTGTTTATCTCCAAAATGGGGATGGAGAGACTTGCTTGACAGGATTGTTGTGACGATTACATGAGACAGTGCAGATAAGGAGCCCATTGGGTAAAGGCATTGAGGAGGCCTGCAGTAGAGGGCTGTCAACTTTTTATGAACTCCTTTCTCAATGCTGTGTATTAACATCACAAGAACCTAAAGAGCTTTACACTACACAAATTTAGAAACATTGTCAGAGTGTGTTCTCTCAAAATTCTTTGGGTTCTGGGGTTTCTCTGGTCAAAAATTTTGACTCCTGGATGGTTATGGAAACGGCATAGCAGTGATGATCAAGACAGCTCTGCTTGGGACTGGGGATATAGCTCATTTGGGAGAGTGCTTGCCTCACATGCACAGGGGCCAAGTTCAATCCCAAGTACCAAAAAAAACAAAAAAACCTCTGCTTCAGTTTTCAGGCATCTCTAGAATGGTTGGATTCTGACTAGAACCCAAAGTGCCCAAATTTGATCAGCATAGTGTATCTTTGTTTATAAACAAGCATTAATTAGATATCTACTATGAGCCCAAACCTGTACATAGGGAAAGCCTAGGACTAGTATCTCCACTGCACGAAACCCTTACGGGTAGAGACTATGTCCTGGTCACCTCTATATTTTTATAAATGCCTACCTACAGTGAACACTCAGAAATGTTTTCTGAATGAATAAAGCCTTGATGTCATGAGAGTGCACAATATAGAACGTACTTATGTGCCAAGCTCATCTCATTACTGTACTTTTCAAGAACTTAAACCACCTGATAGGTGCACCCGCTTCACTGAGTACCAAACAAGTGCTAAGCTTTATTGTGTTGGGTGTACATAAAATGAGTAGACAAAAGGAGACACATTTCTAGCCCTGACCTCATAGTGTAAGGGTGGATAATAAACAAAAGTAAATATCTAGTAGCCTGGTGCTTAGTTTTGCTGYTTCTGGGCTTTATTTGGTAGCTAGTTTGAGCCATGCTCTTAGACTCAGGCTTTATAAATGTATGTGGGCTGAGCCCTCCAACACCAAGGAAAGGAATTGAGATGTTGGGGCAGTATCAGTTCATGGTGAGAATTCTTTCTAGACCCTCTTTTGGCCTTGAGTTTGTTTTTAATGCTAGGAGRATTCTAAGAATTTTTGGAGCTAGAATTAAGAATGAAGTGTATGTTCGACTTCTCAGAACCTGTAATTTACTCCTGGTGATATATTACTAGGAGGGAGGAGTGGTAATAATGTGCCATGTTMCTCCAAGCTTATTTGATCACTGAACTCTGTTTTTGCCAAGGAACATCTTGGGATATTGAGAAATACTATTCCTTATTACTTCTAAAATGATTATAGTTTTATGTTTTACCAGCTCAATTTATGGAGGTAATGATTTCCATATCTACACTTGGTATAGTGCTTTCTTTGTCCTAAATTGACTTTCAGTTGCCAGGAATTCATAGATACCTATTTATTTTAGGTTAAAAAAAATGCACTTTCTAGTTCTCAAAAGTTGTTTAGACTTGTCCAAATGGAACCTAAATCAACTGTTGCTAATACTCATGCCTCATTAATGTGCTTTGAATAAACTTTGAATCATAAAAGTGATGTTTGCTCAGTAAAGAATTGTTTATTAAGATTCAAGAAAAGAAGACAATTATTCATAATTCCACTGCTCAGAGAGAGCTAGTGTTTTGGGTCCAGGGGTCTCAAACTGAGGTGTGAGTTGGGTCTATAGGTAGACAGAGATCCTTAGGTTCTGCTTCCTAAGTCAATAGGGAATTTTCATTTTTAATAAGCCYCCCAGGTGATTCTGAAGTAAAAGGATGGTGGACCAGCCAGGAGAAAAAAGTTGTCTTTTTTCTATGAACTTAAGTTGGGGTGTGTATAGATATTTTATATATACTTATACATGTATTTGCATATGTGTATATATTATATATACATGCATATTTTTACATTTGGCTGACCTTCCTTAATTTTTTTTTCATGAGCATTTTCCCATAGCATTAAGTATTCTCTGAAAGCATGAATTTGGTGATTTCATATAATTAGATTCTACAGATCTAGTATCATTTAACAATTTTTCTATTTTGGTACATAAAGATTGTTTTCCATGATTATAAATAATACTACTTGTGAATGTTCTTGTCCACAAACCTTTGTATTTCTGAGTATTTCCTTCCTTGGAATTGATTTCTGTGAGGTTCAAAACATCTGGCTTAGGTTTTTAGGCCCTAAATAGAAATCACTTGCTTGTTTTCATGTTCATTCGCATTCCTAGAGACATATAGCTGAGGCCTGTTTTCCTTGCTCCATTGATAGATTACATGGATTATCGTTGACTCATAACCTCTCTGATACTTCCTTCCCAAGACATCAGTCCTACAAAGATTACTTTTGCCCTCAGAGCACAAATAACTTTGTTATGTCTTTTAACTAGGCACATATAATTCAATTGTGATTTCCTTAAATATTCTTAAGCCAACTTAAGGTTTTGCTAGTTTTTATCTACTGAAAGGATAAAAATCCTTTTATTGCTTCAGGTATATTGATGAAAAATGTACAGTGATGGTACTTTTGTCCTCACAAAGATATGAATTTTTAGTGAAATATACTAGGTCTATCTTTACTGATTGATGGATTTTTCAGGTAATGAACGAGTGAATGTTTTTATTAACGTGGACATACTAAAAAGGAAGAGCTGATCATGGCTTTATTGATAAGGTAAGAATAGATTTGGGGGGCTGGGGTAGTGGCTCAACAGCAGAGCGCTTGCCTCACATACGTGAGGCACTAGGTTCGATTCTCAGCACTGCATATAAAAATTAACAAAATAAAGAACCATCAACAACTAACTAACTAAATAAATAAATAACCAAGAGTAGATTTGGGGATRGGAGTTGGATAATAGAGTGAAACTCTTTTCTTTTCTAATAGGAAGTAAATAGTGTCTGAAAAACAAATAGCACTTTAAGCGTATTATGTTCTAAAAATCAAGAGGAGGGCTGGGAATGTAGCTTAGGATGCATAAGACCCTGGGTTTTGATTCCCAGCACTACCCCCTCGCCCCTCAAAAAATAAAAAATTTTTAAAAAGCAAGAGGAAGGGAAGAGAATACCAGTTTATCAGATGAATGGTTAAGAGTGGAGGGGGGCTTTTTTCCCCCCCTGGACTGAACTTAGGGGCTTGCATGGCAAAAATCCCCAACCCCTAAGAAAAAGGGCTTTTTAAAGGAAGGAGAGGCCATGCACAGTGACACATGCCTATATTCTTTGCAGCTCAGGAGACTGAGGCAAGAGGATTGCCAAGTTCAAGGTCAGCCTCAGCAACTTAGGCTCTAAGCAACTTAGCAAGACTTTGTCTCAAAATATAAAAAGTGCTGGGGATGTGATTCATTGGTTAAGCACCCCTGGGTTCCATCCCTGGTACCAAAATAATAAATAAAAATGAGGGAGAAAGGGACTTGAGGAGGGCTGGACTGCTRTTTGGGGCGGGGGGAGGGGAGGATACTGGGGATTGAACTCAGAGGTACTTGACCACTGAACTATATCCCCAGCCCTATTTTGTATTTTATTTAGAGACAGGGTCTCACTGAGTTGCTTAGGGCCTTGCTATTGCTGAGGCTGGCTTCAAACTCACAATTCTCCTATAAGTCTCCCGAGCCGCTGGGATTACAGGTGTGCACCACCATGCCCTGCTTGGACTGCTGTCTTTTATAAGGCTCACAGTACTAGTACTATTGGATAGTTTGAATTATTTGTATATATTCATTTACTGTAAAAATTACATTAAAACATATGTAAGATGCTGCTCTCAATAATCATCAATAATCATTCCTTTCTCCGTATGGGCGCTCTAGGCAGTTGACAGTTCCTCTTAAGTGTTTGTAACATTCCAATCCATTCATCCTGCAGCCAGAGGGATTTTGTTTTTTTTTTTTTTCAAAATGCAGATTTGAGCCACCTCACTTTCCCTGCTTGAAATTTGTTAATGGTCTTGCCTTACCCACCTTTCCAACTTACTCCACAGTGCTTCCCATGTTTGCAGCCCCAGCCACATGGGCCTTCTGTCAGTCTTTTGTCAGGGCTTGCTGTTGTCACAAAGCTTTGCATGGMCTGCTTCCTCAGCCTGGAATGCTCTTTCCCTTCTTCCTATGGTGACTTTCACTGGGTCTTCAGATCACCACTCTGCTGTCACAGTCTCACAGAAAGCTTGTCAGTTCCTTTACCAGGTAGCATATTACTCCCACAGCACCTGCACTTGAYCTTCCTGGTGCTCATTGCACATAGCTTCATTTTGCTTCTGTGAGTATTTGACTGATGTTTCTCTTTCCCACCAGCTCTGTAATTCTCACAAGAGCAGAACTATGTCTGTTTGTGTTTCCCTTGGKGCCTGCAACAAATTAGGCGATCAATAAATAATGTTGACTGGCTCAAATTTCCTTGTCATTCTGTTATTCTATCAATATGCAACACCTAGGGATTTTTTTCCTGATTAATATTAAAAACAAACAAAATCCACATCCCTAATC